TATAATATAATATAAATATAATAATATCATCAGCCTTCTGAGAACATGGAGTCAAATTCTAATCTCTCATCTCATCGTGGGGATCTCACAGCACCACAATCCTGCTTTCAGGAATTAAAATTTTGCATCTGCTGAGCACTTCTAAAAGGTCATAAATGAGGATTTGACCCCCCCAGAACCCCTGAGCTGGAGCAGGAGTGCAGACTCACAGGAACTGTAAATCTGTGCAGGTTCTGTGAGGGCTTGGGCACTGCAATTTAACCCTGCTTGGAAGAGCAGGAAAACAAAACCTGCCCCCTTGGAGCACTCCTGCCTTTAGGAATTTAACATTTTGTGTCTGCTGAGCACTTCTAAAAGGTCATAAATGAGGATTTGACCCCCCCAGAGCCTCTGAGCTGGACCAGGAGTGCAGATTTACAGGAACTGTGAGTGTGTGCAGGTTCTGTGAGGGCTTGGGCATTGCGATTTAACCCTGCTTGGAAGAGCAGGAAAACAAAACCTGCCCCCTTGGAGCACTCCTGCCTTTAGGAATTGAACATTTTGTGTCTTCTGAAAGATCACAGCTGAGGATTTGACCCCCCCAGAGCCCCTGGGCCGGAGCAGAGTGCAGACTCACAGGAACTGGCCTCCCTGGGAGAAGCCCATGGCGTTGTAGCCGCGCTGGAGCTGCGGGTCCTGGGCCAGCTGCCTGCACACGTCGCTCACCTGCTCGTTGACGTTCATGAAGAAGCTGTTCTCCATGTCCTGGGGACCAGAGCAGGGTGCAGCGTTTGTACCTGTGCTGGGGCTGCTCTGAGCTCTGCAAACACATCACTGGCATTTGTGGTTCACAAAGAGGATCTGAGCTTTGACAGGACAGAAGTGAAATTCCTGTTCTGAGACTTCACCTTCACTTCCCTTTCCCCTCCTGCTCTGCTTGGCAGAACTGCCTCACATGGGGCACATTTCCCCAAACTTCTTCACAACTTGAATCCCTTCAGATTTTGTTCACATAAATATAAAAATTAAAAAACAGAACCCAGAATCTCCAGAACTCAGAAAACCACCTACACCCTACACTGAGAAATTAATTTAAGAAATTCCACAGCACTACAAAATCCTGTCAAACCCCATGAAGGTGCAGCAGTGTGCGACTTCTTACACTGAAAGAAATAAATGTTTGCAGAAGGAGAAGCATGGCCAGGGATAAATCCCTGCCTCAGCACAGCCTCCCACGCACTACCTGCACTGGTTGAGTGTGCTAATCATTGGATTTGCATATTAATCCAATTTAGGTCAGGGATTTGTTTTACCCCGGTGCTTTTCTGCAGGCATTAGCTGGCCTTTATCGGGTTCTACCTGTCAGAGCTGTTTACCTCAGCGAGAACAGAAAATTGGCCGGGAAGCAGGGCAGGAATCCC